GCTAACTTGAGTGACAAAAAATGACAACGTGACTTAAAATGTCCAATAATCCTTCCATAATTGCTTGTTCTTTGAATGTTAGGGCCTGTTTGATAGGTCATTATTTTCCATGGAAAATGGTAAACAAATTCCAACTTCCACTTTTGCCTTGTTTGACACACTTTTTTTTTCCATGGAAAAAACTTTCTTGATTTGGCTTACATGTTCGCATTTTCCTTTTTCCTTTTTTTTTTTTGGAAATGGGAAAAAATTCTAGATACAATGGAAAAAAAAATTATCACTTTTATTGACAATTTCCATACAAAACAAAGTGAAACGATAATTTTTAAAATTTTTTTTGGCAATTGGAAAAATTTATAGATCCAATGGTAGAAAAAATTATCACTTTAATGGACAATTTTCATAAAAAACGAAATCAAACGGACACCAAACTTTCTATACTAATCAAATACAATTAATTACACTTTCTAGTAATTAATTACAATTCCTTCCATAAAAAAAATTACAATTCACAATAAAACAATTTCTAGGCAATTCAATTCCCTATAAAACATTTTCTTTCCACTCATTTTCCACATTTGTAATCAAACGTACCCTTATGCTTTGTATATGTACGGAGTTTAACAAAAGCATTTTTGCCAATTCGGATGCCATAATGAAAGTATTATAACATGCATTTTTAAGCCACATCATCTTCTCAATCATACAAGCCCAGACGAATGTTTACTAAAATAAAAATAAAAATTCAGTAACTAATTTAGAACAGAATTCAAAAACCAAATTCCTCTGCCCTTGCTTTCAAGAAAGAGTCCAAATCCTTTGCAAATTGAGCAGCATAAGCATTGAACACTTCATTTTTATATCCATGGTACAAAAATTTCCCTTCATTCCATGCAGAAGACGAGGGATCCACCACCTCTTTGGGCACCTCAGAAAGCCAATGGAGCGTACAAGATGAATAAGCAAAGTGAAGTGGGGCCTTAGGGAACTGGCTAGCGTGGAATGAGCCGGGAACTCTGACTGTATAGTAATTCCTGTTTTGTGGAAGTGAAGCAAAAAGCGTATTGAAATCATTGGAGGTCCCGTCATTAAAGAAAACTTGAAATTCAGGCATCTGATGTGAAATTGATAATTTTTTTTCAATTTTTTTTCTTCATCGTTTCAACTATAATTTGCATTGCATGGAAGGTATTAGGTCCTGTAGAGCACCCAAAATCCGCAATGCGGATAATGTTGAAGAGAGTTTTTCTGTGTTAGTTTATTGTTAATTTCTTCTTCGATGATTTCTTTTGCAACCTCCTTTGCTCCCCTCTGTATAAAAATCAAGTATAGCAATTATTATTTTCATTATATCGAATATTATGAAACTCATAGAGGTTAATTCATAGCAATATGTAGACACACTATTTCTCAAAAAGTAAAAGAAAAAAGAAAAAAAGTAAAACCAAAAATGTAGA